ACAGCACTCTCAGTCTGCTCATTGATTTTGAATGAGCTGGACTACTTCATTAGTAGCAGTGGTTGATTGGAAAAAATTATGTAGCATAAACAGGAACTTAATTATAATTTAACTACAGCCTTTCTGAGGTTTCTGGTGTAACTACTGTATTTCCTTGTTTAAAAGTAGTCCTCTGTACTCAAATAAATACAGGTACTCAGTATAAAGCCCAGCATCTTCGACTCTTGCAAATATTTCACAATAAAATCCTTTTTTAAAGAAATGCATGGATTCAGCCCACAGATATGCATGCTTTTATTTTTAAACGGGTACAGGAAGTATTGCAAACATTTATGTTTGTGAAAAAGTGGCCAAGACTTAGAATCTCAAGAAGAGCAGTGTGGCTGAACCTCAATTAGTGTGGCTGCTCTAATCTGTTAACATGGGCGCTGAAATGAAAAGCAAGCTATTCTGCGGCCAGTTTGGTCCAATTCACCAACTGTTCTGCTTGGAGCGCACCTACTGGAAAGCAAAATTCTGCGCATCTATGCAAGACTGAACAATGCAATGAACATATGATGGAGATACAAACCACAAGTTTATCTGATTAAAACATTTTTAATAGATACAGTTACTATTTTAACTACACTAACTAGTGATAATAGTAATATGTGTTCTCTGAGGGTGCCCCAGGTTGCACATATAAGCTACTAATCATTGAATACATTTAGAAAGTAAATGTGTACTTTAAAAAAGCTTAAATAATAAAAATGCTGAACAATCACTGTTGGTATTGTTCCAGCTGGGACCAGCACCCCCTGGCTCCACCCCAGGATCCACGCCTGGTTAACAGTCAGCGACTCTGATATAAACGTGTTTGTAGTATGCTGTTGCTGGATGCTGGTGAAGTACAGGGGATAATAATACTATGATAATAACTATTTGTATTGCACTTATCTAAGCAAGGTTACAAAGTGCTTCAGAAAATACATGGCAAAAAATGAATGAATACAAATGAAAAGTATTTGATTCACTTCAATTTTAAATCACAAAACACAATGAGCGGCACTTTGATGACTGTGGAGAGAAAAAACTCAGTGTGGGCGGCCATCTGCAGCTACTACCACATAGATAAGATAAGATAGAACTTCATTAATCCCGAAGGATATTCTTGTGCCAGATATTACTCCAAAGTTACAATAACAAAGAGTATGTCATGACTCTGGACTCATTACCTGGACTTTGCCTCTTGGATGATGAGTGCTTTCATTTTGATTATGGACTCCTTGTTTATTTTACCTATATCATTGTTTTCCTTGTGTTTGGATTTATGTTTTCTCTCTGAGTTTTCAGTTTCCTGTTTTATTTTGAAGTTTTGCCTCTTGTGTAAACACCAGGAGCCAACCCACTTTACTTCCTGTCTTTGTCCTGTTTCCTGCCCCTGTGATTGTCTGCACCAGCTCCTCATGTGTTTCACCTGTGTCCAATTACCCCTGCCCCTCCCTGTGTATATAAGTCTCCTTGCTTCCCTTTGTCAGTTTGATGGCGTCTTGCGTGGCCATCTCACCACCCTGTTCAGTTCCCTTCTCTTGAGAGTTTCTTGTGTCTCCTAGTGTTTTCCTTGTTTTTGCTGTTTACCTTTTAAAGTTTGGGGATTTAGTTTTTTCTTTGTAAGAGCTTTTCATTACAGGGCACCTTTTGTTTTACTACCTTTATGCTCTGCATTTGTGGGTCCACCTGCTTCAACAAAACCTCAGTGTAAAAGCAATAGTGTATTGAAAGTATCAAACTAACATGTATATAAGAGGACCAGTGCATAAATATAAAAAGTACATAAATGTAAAAGACTAAACTGGAAATATCAAAGTAGTATTGTGCAAGATATTTTTATAATGTACATGATAATAATGGAAGTGGTACTATATGTGAAAAAATAAAAGTGATATTGCATATAACTGAGTGTGAATAACATATGATAATGAATGAGTGATTTGCACATAATGTTGAGCAGTAATATTGTACATGTTGAAAGGTGATATTGGACACAGTATTTATTGTTTTCAGGGTCTGATGTTTTAGCTGTCTGAGTCCCCTGAGAGAGAAAAAACAGGCAGGTCTGACCATTCAAGTAAAAGGCATTTATGTTTGTTGTGTGGAGGCTCAGATATTTGTCCACAGTGTCCACCTTTGTTCCCCTGTCTTACTGGGATGAGACAGGTTCTCTTTGCGTCTGAAATGTCATCAACAACTCCTTGTTTCTGGGATACAGGAGGTTTTGGTCCACACTGCTCCACAAAACTGTCCACCACACTTCTGTACTCCTCCTGCCCCCTTAATAGAGCCCACAATGGCAGAGTTGTGGGAAAGCTTCTGTAGATGGCAGGACTGTGAGCAGAAGGCTATCTGAAGTCCGCCTGCACTACCTGTGTCTTCAGGTGAATACCAGCCCTGTTCTGCAGAAAGGTCTTTCACTCTAAACTAGGCCTGATTAGAGATCTGCAGGGGTCTAGTGGTTTGACTACTGAACAAAGGTGCTCCGGGTCCAGCAAAGTTCTTTACATGTAAGGTTAGAGCCACTACTACTAATGCTACTAATACAACTACTACTACTACAACTGCTGCTAAATACAATTATACATCATAATGATGACAGCATGAAAAATGTGCTTGCCACTCAGTGAAGCTGAAAAAGTTCAATATGAACATGAGTTGAGATCCCTTAACTTCAAATAATCAGTTAAATGAATGCAGTTCATTGCAATCAACTCTCTCAATCAAGTTTTGGAAGAAACAAAACTAGCATATTAACAGACTTCCCAGCATGCATTGATTGGGGGTTTAAAGCATAGACTAAAGATGGATGTTGCTAATCCGATTCCTCCCACTGTTCAGAAATGATACCAAAATGTCTTAAATAGAAATATTACCAACTCACAGCAGTGGTTGGAGGTTGAGCTGTAGTATCAAGCTACCGCCATTACGCATAATCGAACCAATCGTGAGTCAGTCTCAGAAGCCAATCATGGCGTTTCTCCTCTTGTCAATAACTAACTACAAACAAACTCATCGGAATCATGAACATTCGATAAATCAGTGTGATGAGAACAATCTAAAAGGACAGAAACACATTTCAAATGTACCTTTGTGGTAATTTTGCCCATGTCAAATCTAGTACCATGGAGGAGGTCGGGTTTAAAACCTGCGGCCAGCCACCAGGTGGCCATCAAGACATCATGTTGTCCATACAGTCTGTGGTTGAAACTCTCCTTTTTGTAGTCTGAAGAAAACAGACGTGTTGAGGTCAGTCCTGAACAATCAGCCTCATCGAATGTCTGTAGTGACTCTTTTAAAAAGTGGCTTCAGCAGCTGCAGCTATAAGACCAACATGCAATGAATTCATTCTTTAATCAGAGAATATGTAAAAGGAAACAACTGTAAAATTGCATTGGTTCATTCAGAGACTTCAAATAACTGAAATGAACTGTGGTTAAATTAGCTAAATGATTTAAGTCAAACTGAATAGTTTATTTGACTTGGTTATGGGTTAGTGCTTATAAATAACCTCAGCTTGTCATCTCCAATTCAGTCAACGTGTTTTAAATTTTAAATCCAACCAATTAAAAAAAAAAAGTAACCAAAGAGTTTCTGAAATGTTTGGGTTGGTTGAAAGCTTAGTCTTTGGTGTGTAGCCAGATATTTCTTGTTTTTTTATTATGAATTGATATTTTTTACTGAAGCTGCAGAATAAGGCCCTTGACTGCAACATGACTTCATCAAGGACCCAAGTTCCAAAACTTCACCGGAGGAGGTTGTGCTGAGCTCCAGGGCTCACTACTTTGCTTGATGAGCCACACTTATAGATGTCATGAAGCACTTTAGTTTAAGATAAATGGCTTCAGATCATCTTTCAGGGAGCGGTGACCTGTAAGTTTCCTCTCAGAAGCCCATCACATTGTTTTATAGACGGTGAGTGTACACATTATCGTAAATCATCAGTGAGTGCAATTTGATGCTTCATTCATTCAGCTACACACACACTCACTCATATTTCCATGCCATGCCATGCAGTACCATAAATGCCATGCTATCATCTCTTTACTGTCACGAGAGGCTGAGGTTGAGGCTGAGAGTGCAGAGGATGTTTTGAATCCATGCTAATGATATGAGGGCACTG